GCGGTGCAGTGTGGCTCATCGCTGTGGTGGTGGAGCGCTTTTGTCCCGGTGGTAATCCGCTCACTCTCAATGCCCCAAACCCTAGTATACGGTTTCAAACCAAGGCTGGATTATCACCACTTTTGAGAGTGAAAAATGTCGGTAATGCCCAGCAGCCTGGTCTTTTGTTCGGAGTACGGTCTTTTGTTACAGGGCCCTGTTTCCTTTGTCCGAGTTCGGAGACCCCGGCCACCCATATAAACCATACGTCTCCGATCCCGGAATCCCCGGCAGGAAGTGGTTAATGACACTCACTTCTATGGGCAAATGGTTGCATGCTGCCTGTACAGTCATGACAGTCAGTGATTTCCAAAGATGCAGGGATCATTTCTGGCCACCGCAAAGTTACTCACATGCATTTTATGATTGAGAGGGACGCTGAAGCAAGCCGAACTTGCCAGAAAAGGACTTCAAATACCTATGACCTTTGACCTTTAACACTTACCAGTCTGAGGCTGCTGTGGAAACTGCTGCTGGGGCACAAATGCATATTGAACCACATTCTGTGGCTGTGGTGCCATCATGACCTGTGGAGCACTCTGGTAGTAAACCTATGAGAAGATGAGGAGGGTTAAAAGTTGATAGCACCATTCACTCACACAGTCTTGATTCAAGACAGGTACTATTGCTTCATGTCAAGTACTAGTGGAGTGGAGCCAGATATTATGCTCGCAAGTAACATGCCTAAAATACCACCTTGAAGCAAGACTAACAGCAAAGGCACTGGATGCTTCATCTGGACCTGTACATAAAAAGGTCCCTTGTCTTCACCCACCAGTAACTTTGAAACTTTCACTTCAAGCATTTTCTCTACAGCATTTTTTTTGTCGCCATACTGATAAGAATTTTTCTGGTCTGGATATACTCTACAAAGATGGCACATTCCATATGAAAAGGGAACAAAAGCTTGCTCCAAACGGCATAGTCTTTTTCACTACATAAGTAAGAAAGTCAAAATTCTGGAGGGATATTGACAAATTTTCTGCCACTCGTAAAATTGCAGATTTTTTTCATTTGAATGACAGTGGGTTTTTTTTTAAGGTTGTTTTTTTCGTACCACAGGGTAGGCAGGGCTAGGATTGAGGCACATGGTACAACACGTCATGCTGGCAGCGACAATAGCGACAACCATCTGTGCCACACCGACAACCAAAGTCACTGCATTGATTGCCATACGGGTACCCTGCAAAAGAGAGATTGGAGAAACACAACAGCTAAAGTCAATAATGCTATCTTGAGATGGCGCCAAGAAAACGAAACTCTGCGGGACAAAATCAAAACATCTGACAGACCACGTCCAGAAGGAATGCCTTGAAAATTGACATGCTTGGAGATGTATGAACCCATCCCAATTCTGAAAGAAGCCTGTTTTCATCACAAGTCTTCTTGTTTGCTTAGGGGAAAAAAAGAAAAAAAAATCCTGCCTGAATAGCTATCAATGCAGTTGAAACCCTGCCAAAATTGGAAACTCAGACAAGGGAGGACAAAGTGCACACAGAATCTAAGCACCTGGGCCTGATTTCAAGGTGGAGCTTAGCAAACAATTTCTTGCTTACAGAGGCTTCACATATTTCATGGAGACCATGAAATTAAGAGCAGCCAAAGGCATGCTAGCCTTGGAGGAATAATTGGCTTGAAAGTAGTGACATAACAATAGAGATCTCTGGGCGCATGCAAGCATTAGCACAGCCACGCCAAGCACCATTATGAAATACATGTAGTGCTTAAGGTTAGCAAATTTGTCCGCTTAAGTTAGCACATGCCTTTTCTGCTAACTGTTAAGCAGCTCTGTGAAATTGGGCCCTGGTCTCACTGCTAAGCTGCTATATATCTACTACACTGATGCACTCTTATTTGTTGAATGCTTCATTAATGTGGTTGTGATCTTTTGGTCTGGGAACTAGACAGCAACAACATTTAGGTCCAATTGGCTGTTTCTTCAGTGACTGAAAAAGCAAATGGATAAGTGAAATGAAGCCGCGTGTATGTGTTTTCTTACAGGGAATGTTTTTACATGAAGCAGCTGCAGTCATGCATCATTGTGTTTTCTTACAGGGAATGTTTTTAAATGAAGCAACCGTAGTCATGCATCATTGTGTGCCTGTGCAACACGGACTTCACACTTGATTCGAAGGCTTGTGTGTATTGCCGTTCACTGTTCTTTGCTAACATTCCCTATTTCCTATGGTGCTCTGATGATTTCAATGTTAAACGAGGATGAGGAAACTTCCTAGATGGCGTACAGCGTGCTATTAGCAAGATGCTTTTCAGGTCTTTGTTTTGCGACCAAATATTGGAGTGCTCTGATTTCTAGGCTTTTGAAACTCAAAATAAGAGCTATTGCCGGGCATGTATTAATTTAGGTGCATACTTCTCGTACAGCTCAGGGTAACTTTCAACAGTGCGCCCACAAATATGCCTGTGCTGAAAAAAGAGTCATTCAGCCTACAAATCCATCTAATATTTCTGTTACTTTGTTAAAATTTCCATATATCTTGTGCAAATAAATTACGACTTCATCCTCAAATTGGATGGCATTTCGTTGTCATTTCGATGTCATGTGAGGTCAAAATAAATGGAATGTTTTTCCATGTTGGAAACTTACGTGTGAAGATGAGCAGCCAGCGCGGTCTGAAAATTCATGAGAATAAGCCAGGTACCACCAGTCAGGGCAGAAGTACTCGTCATTCGCGATAAAAACACCAGCACAGATGACCATCACCCCAGCAGCCACACAGGCAATGATGGACATAGTAAGGTACCCAATGACCTGAAGAGAAAGAAATCAATGGCATATCATAAGCATCCCAATGCTCCGAATTTAGCAAATCCAGACAGAGGAACAAACCAGACTGCTACAATATTGAAGCAAACGTGGCTGAAGGGCCCACTGCTTGACAGTTGTACTGATCATAAAATTTTAACATTTGAAGTAAGGCATGCGCCATCGGCCCAAGACCATTCCACCTTCTACAAGCAAAAACTTCAGCAAATGTCACTCTTAATGCCATTCCTGATCAAATAAAACTTGGGAGACAGAAGAGAATATGCAAAATGCAAAAAAAACTCCGATGTTGAAAAACCGGACCATGTCTCATTTCCACCTAACAGGAGGATGGAATTTCGATGGGTATGTGTAACAATAACTTTCGTCAACAGCATGCATGGGTAATTTCATTATGCTGTCCTCTGACATTAAGATCCAATGACCACAACCAACCTACCAAGCCTTTTCTCTCTGCTCCACTTGACGCTATACCCAGAATCCCTGCCACGATGAAGAACTATCAACAAAAGGACAAAATAGTTGTGCAATAGCACCGAGTGAATTCTGAACACATAAACAAAGAAACCTGTGGCATTACTGAGACTAAAATGCCATGGATAAGGGAATTTGAATGGGGTTGCTGTGAGTTTTTAAAATGAAAAGGGCAGACCACAAATCATAAGTACCCTACCCTAAGAAACAGGCCATTATGGTGAATGTACAAGCTTACATATATGCAAAATTTAGTTAAAGAACCTAAAGATTAACAGCTCTTTAACCTACAATTTTGAAATAACGGGTTACGTAGATTCCTCATTACCTTTTCCTGAAAAATCTTTTAAGACTTCCATTGCTAACTATTCCACGGTGAAACCATTGAGGCAACAGACCATTTGTGGCCACAGGGTCTTGGGAAGTTGGGGTACAGGGTCTTGGGAAGTTGGGGTACAGGGTCTTGGGAAGTTGGGGTACAGGGTCTTGGAAAGTTGGGGTACAGGGTCTTGGGAAGTTGGGGTACAGGGTGTTGGGAAGTTGGGGTATAGGGTCTTGGGAAGTTGGGGTACGGCTTGAACAAAAATGTTCTGTTGTGTTAAAGCTCATGTTTGCAGAGTGGGCCCTTGTATGTTAATACTTAGCACAAACACATTTTTTTGTCTGATTTCACTTACACAAAGTCCAATCCATATTCCAATGCCAACAATGTACGCATACGTCTTGAAAATGAAGGAAAGGATTCCCAGCAAAACAGAGAAAATACCGAGAAAAACCTGCAGGAAGCCAGTGATTCGCAAAGCCTTCCACTGACCACGAGTCCTAGCCATGTTGGACGCTGTTTGGTCAGCTTGCACGGTCACCTGTCAGACAAGGGATTGAAGCGGTAATTTTTGCTAAGTGTGAAATCCAAATGGCTGTGATGGAGTGGCCATACGATTACCGCCGCCTGCACTCAACGAGGCCCGACGCGCACGAAAAGAATCTGATTGGATAAAAGTTTCCTGGCATAATTTTCATGCCTGTGACCTTCGTCCTGTGCATAATTATTCCATATTAGGCTAACAAATTTTTCCCGGGCCCAATAAAATTCGCTCCGGTCACGTATATCACAAATGCAACAGAGTTTGAAGCCCAAGCTTTATTCTTCTGTTAGTGTTACGCAGTGGTGCACAAAAGCAACTGTACGCCAGTACCGCATCGGGCTGAAGAAAGGTTTGCTGAGTATAAGGTCTTTTACCCTGTAGAGGGGGTAACAGGGGTTATTGTTTAAATAAAGGAAATTCAAAGAAAATTTCATTCCTATGTGTTTTTAATTTGAAGTGGTATTTACGTGATTTCTGTTTCATTTTTTAAAACAATGATGGCTACTTTTTTATCCTGTGGTTGGTTCATTCTCAAATATGAAACCTACCACTGGCTGCTGTGAAATAGTCATTGGTTGGCTCGGCAGCTGTTCCATGTTGAAACAAATACATGTACCCTGCAAGAGAGTTGTGCAAGAGAATGTTAAAATGTTTTAAGTTTTTCAGACTTACAAACTAACTACTGTTCCTATGTGAGGTTACATGAATGAGATTCACTAATAATAACAGGCAAAAAATGTGGGCCAATGTACTTTACAGATGTGACTGACATGACTGATGAACTAAAATGTTTAGAAAAGGATTAAAACCAAAATGAAGTCCCGTACGGGAGATATGAAATGCTCATTATGATAATGAAAAAACAATGAGTGTGTGTTGTTGCCCCATCGTTAGCAAAGCTAGGATATTATGCAGATTAACTGGAGCCACTGCAATAAACGAAAGTGAAGGGCAGCAGGACTTGATAAACAACTGGGCAATCTTGCAAGACTGAATTTGTCGGATTGCAATCTGCACAAGTTACATGTATGCAGGAAAATTCACATATTCTTTGATGGGCAAGTTTATCGCTAGAATCCAAAGTGAAAGTTAGAGCACCATCTACAATGTCTACTGGAAATAATTTACAGCTGAGCTCCTCCAAACAAAAAAAACACAGCCTCATGATCATCCCTGGTAACATTGCCTACAACCAATTACAGCTGGAACAACCATGATCACAGCCAGCCTTGCCTACCATACTTAACTTAGAAGGCCTGAAAGCACTCTGCAAATATAACTGCTGATAATGGGAAATCGTTGTAGGTCTATGCTTCTTCTGGAAACCAAAAGGCACCACCTCCATGGAAAACAAGTAAGGATTATATATTTGTGGAACCCTCCGTTTTTTGTTTGAAGTGGTCAGCCCTCAATACACCAAAGGCAACGCTCTCTTTATTGAGCTGGCCCTATTTTTTGAAAATTTGGAATTGTCAATTCTGAGAAATGTGATTTTATTACTGATAAATCAGCCATGAAAATTTGAATCCGCCGTGTGTCATGTGATAAAACAATCACAGTTTCCCTCATAGTTTCCCTCAAAACTCAAAATCCTACCATCTTTTCACAACATTAACCCTACAGTAATTAAACATGATGTAGGCCTAGTCATCGACCACGGTGACTCCATAAGTTGAAATGTAGGCCTTGGTCTCCCTTGTAGGCCTATTAGAAATAGCCATAGAAATGGCCATAACCCAAAACACTCAGACTAGTCCTACTCCTAGGCCACTGAATGGTTGGGAGCTACTCGTAATAATAGGTCTAATTGGCTTTTTAAAGAGCAACCCAAACTGTGGAAGAAAACAAGAAATCTGGCTGAAGTTTGTTTAATTGGATCCCCCCTGCGGTTACCTCAATGCACATAATTACACGCACAGGTAGTACAGTAACGCATGTGTAGATACAGTCACACTGCAATGTCCCAAGTCCAAGGCACAGAGCCTAACTGCTTTGAACCCATCATGCCATCAGAGTGCCAACGGGATCTGGATCGGGCTAACAATGGGGCCACCGCTGGTGAACGATGCGGTGAAGGAAATTAAGATTGTTTGATAAATAAATACGGCCTGGTAAGTTCAGAATCAGAGCGAAGGACGGATGTTTTGGATGTTTTACGTTGTTATTTTATTCCGAAAAAAGTGTCAGGCTAGGCCGTGCAGCTCAGGCATGCAGGGCTCTGTACAAAAACATTCCCACAAAACCAGGTCCTGCAACGAGGTCATGACATTTTTCGTTTCCACGGTGGTGTGCAATTAAACAAGCATTTCTGCGTGGCACCACCAACGGTACAATTTTCTACAAACGTGGACAGTTCTTGAAAAACCAACAGAATTGGTCCGTATTTTTATTGCACTATTACTATTTATTAAGAAGTCACTGTGCCACTTTACATACAGTATATCACATTTCTTAGTCTTAGATATCGCGCAAGTTTATCAAACTGTATTCCCCATTTTTTCCACCACCGTTGCGGTTTGCCCTTTATGTTTCCAACCTGAGGCGGCCATATGTGCCCAGACCTTTCATACAAGACTTCAAGAATTACGCTCACAATAGTACAGCTTACCCCCAGAACTGTGGGGTACGTCGGATCTCACAGCTCTGAGGGTAATAAGGCTTAGGCCTACGTGCTGGCAGTGCTAGTCTAACATTACTTTTAAATTACAGTAAACAACGTTACACGATGAGCCCAACACTACATGTAGCTGGCAGGAAATTCAGCTAGCATTGCACTGACTTCTTGGATTGGCTTTGCGCAGTGTTGACACACTATATGTAGGCGTCGCTACGAATCCTTGCTCGAACGTAGTAGTACGATATCGGTTATGGTACAGTAGGCATTGTGGGCCTCGTGTCTCTTTCCGTGAACACCCTAATCAACGTACGCCAGGAATGACAGGTGCAGCTAGCTTGATGCAAATAATTATGCAAAAACACCCACCCGGAAGGCCGACCATGCGCATACGCCACACAAAACAAACGTAGGTCTGGGAACCACACCTAGTCTGAAGATAATGATTTCGTATCCAAAGTACGACGAGCTCAGAGTGTAAGCCCATAGTGGTGGTAATAGGTAGTTAAACATATGGGGACGATCATGATACTATAGAAACAGTGACGTATTTCGCTATCTTTCGTTGAGTTTCACCCTTTGCTTTTATACCCTCTCCATAACAATCAGATACGCTGCTTTCGTTCACGAATGACAAATCGATTGCGCGATCGCCGGCCTCATACCACCAGCACTAGTGACGAGGGCACATCTCTGCCGCTCATCTCTATCCATCGACACATCTCTACCGCACATATACAACGGCCAAATTCGTTTTTGTGATTTGGAATTGCTCAAAACTAAAGAGTGATCGAACATCAAGCCTAGGCAAATTTAAGGTAAGCTACATACATGTAGCTCAGCCCCAGGTGGACTCCCTGACCGTACTACGTTACAGAGTCGTAATGAAATAAATACAACGTCCAACCATGGAGCGTTTTTATAGCTCCATGGTCCAATCTGGGTAGGCTACATCAGCTATTGCCAAATTTGCGCAAGTGATTTATGTCATATGTGGCTTGATTGTGAATCGTACGAATTTTTAGTTTTTATCATGTTTACGATAGTTTTGTTTATACATCCTCTAGCCTTAGCCGACACTTTGATTTCATGATGCAGCAACAACCCCCAGCTTACACGCCAAGCCAAACTCAAATGGCTCCACAACATCAGGTGGTAAGTCGGATAATTTTCTGCATCTTTGGATATTCAGTACTTAACACACGAAACATGCTCTAGGCAGATGCTAATAACTAAATCTTATTCATTGTTAATCATATGCCGCACAGAAAATGTTTGCAGCAATTTTCTGTACATTGCTGAGTTGTAAACCAGTGTAGGCCTACACCATGAGATGAAATGAATTAAAGTAGGGCCTAGTAATACGGTGATTCTCAACAGTGTGCCTCCAAGGGTTTGCAACGTGTTGGCCAGTCACAACACAAAATCTGTCAATCCTTTCAAGACACACGTTGGGTCGACAGATTTTGCGTATCAAACTCTTGGAGGTGCACTTTTGTGAATCGCACGTGTTAAATTACAAAAAAAAGCGGGTCTTATCTTATCATGTGTAGCTGGAACACAATCGAGAGGGAAAGAGTGGGTGTCATTCATTTTCCCCTGCTGTTGTGTAGTAAAATATCAACCCTCAGCGATATCTTATGTCGTTGCCTCTGCGCAGATAAAACATTGAGAATACTTAAACAACACCATTGCATAGTATGTCACAACGCTCAAGAAGTGGACCTTTCTGAGCTTGAGTAATAATGCAGATGTTTAGAGTATGTGGAACTCTTACCCAACTGAGGAGTTTGGGTGAAGTTAGACTTTGGGCTTTGAATGGATGGATGGATGAACTGTGTTTATAAACATTTCAGATTTTCATTGAGTGATGGGCCGGCTAGTCTTGGTAGCCTTGTCATTTCGCATACTGGGATGGGTTTATTATACTGGTATAGATTCATTGCTTTAAGCTACATCCCAACTCAAGCATTCGAATGAAATAAGAAACATTTACTCCTAATTTTGTCGCAATATTAGATCTTCTATTGCCTTTATCAAAAGAACGCCCCGGACCATAGCCCAAATGAAGAAGCAGAACTAGAACTACTGTACAATTAAACAAAAAAATCAAATAATGTCATGAGTGTTGTGCATTATTCAAATGAAAGAGTTTATTTCTGGGCAGTACTTCACACCCGGAACACTAATAACCAGGTGAAACTGGTCTAGAAACAGTGTTATACATGGTATTTTGTAAAGTCCTAAGTACATGTACATGTACATGTACCTTGTTACAACAGTGTTCCACGGTAACTGTCTCAGTATTCTTCCCTGTTTTTATTTTCAGTGACTTTTTAGGACATGTTATCTCTTTGATGTCACTGTAAGGATAAATTTGTGGTGGCAGTGTATGGAATTATTCCCCAAATTTAAGGAACATGTATGTCGCTGAGTGGGTTCATGTACTGTCTCTAAAAACCAATGTAAAAATTGCTTTGACTAAAACCCAAACAAAGGAGTAGAACCACAAGAACTTAGTGCAGATAGAACAACTAAGGAAATTTATGTCTTGAGTGTTCAAAAAGGGCCTATATACATTGATTGTCACTTTCTTGTGTACTTGTATACCTGGGTTGTAGTTTTCTTGAGCATTATATACAAAATCAGAGTATACATTTGATCTGAAAGTTCTGCGCTAATTTCAAAATCAGCAAGATTAAGTTATTTGCAACATTTTGGTGGAATTTTTCCAAAAGAACATGTATGCTTTGTGTGACACTATACTCAAAGAAACAAGTACACATGGTTACTCATTAATCCCTCAAGTTCCTCTTCAGTGCATTTTACTGTGAAGGCAAAGCTTAATTCAGAATAACTAGGATAGATAGTTGTGATAAATTTATACCCACCATCTTGCAATCAGTGTGACAGAAATAAGAAATAAAATTGCCTAGGAAACAACTTTACATATATACATGTACATACGTGTAAGTGAAATACATGTAGCATTTAATTCAAATCTCATTTTAATAATACCGATGACATTTGTTACTGTTATGAAATGCAATTCAAGGTCATGCCAGGCCCACCCAAGGCTTTAGTGCAAACTGATAGTCCAGACAGGAGAGTACTGTTATTATTGTACACTGCATGCACACTGCACAAACATAATACTCAAGGCATCCAGGAGTAGCTGGTTATTCCTCCATGGTTATTCACACCAGTACCAGTTAAACACTGGTACACACACCAACAGGTACACCCAGGCATTTGTACACATAACAATCATTGCCTTTTCATAGATTGGAAATGGGAAATTATTTTCATGACACTAACCCACATTTGAAGATTCTGTTTGGTTTCTAGGTCTGGGAAATAAAGATCTCTGTTTTCTTGAATGTAGTAGATTTAATACTTGTTTTAAAAAATGGTCAAAGTAAATAAAAAAGTAATGGAAATGCCCAGTTGGTTTGTGGATTACAAGTACCGAAGACAAGTGTCTATGCAAAGATATCTGTTTATCTGGAGAAGTTGTTATGAACTCAATTGTTAATTTTACCCACAGCTTTAGAGTACTTTTCTGCCTAACTTCTATCAGATGTTGCACTATTGAGTTGCTGGTTTATTCAGTGTTCATCATTTGCCTGTTTTGTCAGTTCATTCAATTCTTCAAACCCATTGTATTTTTCCTTTTTTTTTGCTGGTACGTTTCAATTTTGTAGCAGCTGAGGTGACTTTTTTATTCAGGGCTGTGTTGAATATCTGTATTTTATAAAAAATATACTATTTTCCAAATTTGTGTATTCAAATGAAAACTTCGTGAAAAGGAAGGGAAAAATATTCTTTTGTTTTAAATGAGAAATATTGAACTATGGAGGTTTTTTCAAGCAGAGTCAAATGAAAAGCGACAGAAATCTTGCGACTCAAAACGTTAATTTATATATTAAAGCATTTAAAAGGTATAGAAATGTTCCTCTTGTTCGCCTCTTAAATCTTGCTAAATCGTGGCTGGAGATACTCCAAGACGAGAGAAGCTATTATACTGATTATTACATTGTGTGCATTATTGCAACTGATTTTGTATATCAATCTGCCGGTCGATAAAATGGAATAGTCGGATATTCGATCGAATTGAAGGAGGCATATTCCAACAGTGAATTATTGGAACTGACTCAGCCATATTCTTATTTCCAAAGAACATGCATTGATTGCACTCATAATCAAACTTCTTTGTATACGGACTCAGTGTATTAAATTATATTCTACATGCATTCCAAAGAGCATTGGCAAATTTGTTTTTCAAGCATGCTTCATTGTGCTAAAGTAAACCCAGTAAGATCTTGTTAAAATTATTGACGATGGCCCTCTTGTGATTTGGACGACTGAGAAGTCTGTTTGCTTGTGTACATGTACATTGCTGGAGAGGGAAAGTTGGCTGAGGGTTGTGACCAGATGGGTTCAGGTTGTCATAGTTATAAGGGGCCCCCTCTGCTCCCCATCCCTCAAGAACAATGTTTTGGAATTCAGTTTTTAGTCCTTTTTTTTTTTAATTCAAGCAGTTTTTGCCATTCACAGACTTTTTGTGTCAAGATTATGTTCATGGGCACGTAGCACTCAGGTTTTTTTTTCAGAGAACACTACCCCTTGATGTTCCTACTATTGGTATCATTTTATGTGCTTGCTTACATGTAGGTGACAGTGCAGCAGGGGGCTGCACAAGTGGTTTCAAGCGGCCAATCAAGGCCAGGCAACTGGAAGAGTATGAAAGTGACGGGAGTCATGCAGATTGTACTGGGAGGTCTGACCGTTGTCTTGGGCATTGTTGCCTGTGCCATTCAGGCCTACTTTTACTTCGTCGGACACGCTTTTTGGTGTGGTCTTGGGGTAAGTGCCTTGTAAGCCTATGTGAATGTAGGATAAATGAACCATTTCCGGGCATGGTGGTTTGTAGGAAACCTACATTAACCCATACAGTGTATGTACTTTTTTTCTAGTAATCCATTGGAATTTTTTTGCCGTTTATTGGGATCCTGCTGTGAAGACATGTCTGATATTGTTTCAGTTTCAATACAAAGTCAGTTTTTCTCCTTTCATTTCTTGTTACATGTACATCTTCCATTTTCAACAATCTGTACTTTAGTCACCATACTTTCAGGGGTATGGAAGGAACTTTTTCTATTTTTCTTTCAAAGTCCAACATTTATAGACCTTTGAAGATCAATACACAAAGCCCTTGAGTCCAACCTTTTAAACTTGTGTTATTGTATATTTCAGGTTACTGTTGTCTCTCAGCAGTTTGTAGCAGGTTTTTGTCCGTGCACTTTACATTGGAGATAATTATTATTTGCAATTATTTCTGAAAAGTGAAGAATAAATGGTCAGTTAAAGAATCTAATCAACTAAAATTGAACAAGGCATGAATTTATGTTGTTGTTGTTGTTTTGTTTTAATGGCGCTTTCAGCAACTCGGGCTATTTGCGCCAATAACTGTACGTTTATTCATACACTTTATTAATCAGCATCACATTACGGAGTTAGGAAGAAGGTCCAGTTTTAG